AATTTGGGGTGTGACCAGAGTCACGGAACGAATTAAGTTCGTAAACCGAGGTTCCACTGTACTGATTTACTCAGTTTACATTTCTGACACTATTTTTTGAAAACAGAATGAAAGAATGGGGCCAGATGAGGCAGACCCAATTTCTTTAACATTGTATGGCCATCACCTTTTGTACAAGTGATGAAAACTAAAGTTAACAGAAAAACATCAGCCATGTAACAGCAAAATATTAACCACATAAAACTGATTTGCTGAAAGTCTACTATGGTGACTCTAACATATATGTTGGGAAACCCCCCATAAAATTGGATATTAAGCAATACTCTAAGATACGCTACCTTGGTGTAACCAATATGCAATCTGTGCAAGTTAATCTGGAGAACATATTCTTGATCTGCATGCAGTTTCATCCATTTTTTATCATCCCGTATGTTCATCGACAACATTGGAACAATCAGTTCCTTCTGTTCATGAACTGTATCATCCCAACAACCTTTAATAATCATACTAATGTCTATAACTGGCAAGCGGGACAAGTAATGCCAAGCCTGTGAAGAGAACAAATAGCAACAAGATAAACAAACCTTTCCAGTTATACCAACTTTATTAAAATATCATATTAAATTGAGCCCACACAGGCTTTTTTCAGACAAAGTTCTAGCTTGATAGATCATGATAGTCAGATAGAAAGACACATAGGCAATGGAACGTAGATCATTTCAAAATTCTTCCTTGGGTAAATCACATATAGGTAAGATTTCCCTACACTTCCACAAGAGTCAGTGGTACTTTAACATAACAACCCAAACAATTACAATCAATATTCTGTGCTTTGGCTATTTCTGTGCAAGTAAACATGCTACTATATATGCTTTACAAAAATTACTTTATATCCATTTTTTAAAATCACCTTACCTTTAGTGATTAAAGTATTTTTTCAGTTACTGAATTCTATTTATAATTATATTCTAAATTAACTCTTCCCAACATAATCCATGAGTGAATCACCAATTAGTGATAAGGCAAATACAGAGAGTTCAGAGGATCATTTGAGATAATTATTCTAAAATTCAAATTCTTATGTAAAGTTATCCATACTTCCAAGTTGTTTGTTTTTTTTTTTGCAATGAATTTTTAATATTAAGTGTTCTTAAAAATAGCAATGATCACATGGACTATATTTTGTGATACTCTTGTAGATTAGTTGTCCCCTCAGTTCTTTACGTGTTTGATCAGGTGGAGCTACGTCGTGAACTGAATAAAGGCTAAAACCTAGTACAGGTAGTCCTTGAGTTACAGCCACTTGTTCGGTGACCATTCAAAATTATAATGGCGCTAAAAGAGGGGGACTTATGACTGGTCCACAAAGTTGTGGTCATCGCAGCATCCCAGCGGTCATGTGATCACGATCCTGGCACTCAGGTGCTTGGCTCATGATTACGACATCGCAGCAAGCCACGTTCATGTGATTGCCATTTGCGACCTTCCCTGGTGGCATCCCATAAGCAATTCAATGGGGAAGCCGGCAGGGAATGCCACAAGTTTCTCCCTTAAGTCACTCTGCCGTGAGTGTATGTAGATCTCTCATTCTCCAAATCAACGTATAGAGGATGCCAACTAACTCTCTGGCA